GAGGGGGGTGGGGGGATGGGTTAGCCTGGTGATGGGTATTAAGGAGGGCACGTTCTGCATGGAGCACTGGGTGTTATACACAATCAGTGAATCATGGATCACTACATCAAAAACTAACGATGTAATGTATGCTGATTAACATAACAATAAAAATTTTTAAAAAAGAATGCTGGAGGTGGTGGAACAAAGAAAGAAAGAAAGAAAGAAAAAGAAAAAAAGAAAGAAACATGTTCAGGATATCTAGGAACTCAAATTCTTAAATTATAGCTATATCTAGATTTGAACTGGCAGTTCCCAAGGTGATGCCAGAAGTGGGCAAGATCAAAATAACAAGTGTTATGTCCTTAATAGACACAAATGCTATTCATTCCAATGTATAGGAAAATGCATGATGACCACCTTATTTTAAAATCTTTGCTTTTCTTTTTATCACTTGCTACTATCTAATATTATGCTATAAAGTGCCTTGTTTAATCTGTTTATTTTTTACTCTTCTTCACTAGAACCTAAGTAGCAAAGTACAGGGCCTTTGTTTTTTCCACTGCCATATTTTTAGGTGTAGAAAAGTGCCTTGTATAGTTAACCCATGAAGAACACAGGTTTAAACTGTGTGGGTCCACTTATATGCAGACTTTTTTCAATAAATATATTTGAAAATTTTTTGGAGATTTTCAACAATTTCAAAACACCTGCAGACAAACCACAGAGTCTAGAAATATAAAAAAAATTTTTAAAGTTAGGTATGTCTTGACTGCATAAAATATATGTAGATACAAGTCTACTTTATCATTTATTACCATAAAATACACATGAATCTATTATAAAAAGATTTACCAAAACTTCTACACACTTACAGACCACACATGGCACCATTACAGTTGAGAGAAATGTAAACAAATGTAAAGATACAGTATGAAATCATAACTATAACATTTACTGTAGTACATACTATATTACTGTAATAATTTCATAGCCTCCTGTTGCTGTTGTGGTGAGTACAAGTGTTGCCAGTATCTGCTTAAAACACGGTGTGACACTAATCATCTCTGTGTGAGCAGTTCAGTCTCTCCAAAAAATTGCATACAGCAGTAAAAGTGATCTCTCACAGTTGTTGCTTATTTTTCAATGTGTTTAGTGTAATACTGTAAACCTCCAATAACATTATGGGACCCATACCCATACAAAGTGCTACTCAGTGATGCTGGAAGTGTTCCCAAGAAGCAAAGAAAATCATGACATTACAAGAAAAAGCTGAACTGCTTGATATGTCCCATAGATTGAGGTCTGCAGCTGTGGTTGCCTACTGTTTCAAGATAAATGAATCCAGTGAGAGGACCATTGTAAAAAATGAACAGGAAATTTGTGAAGCATTGCTCCAACTACACCTGCATGCACAAAAACCTGGTACTTTGTGTGAAATACTCTACCTTTTCATCTCGTATTGAAAATGCTTTCATGTGGGTAGTAGAGTGCTATAAGAAAGGTACGCCTATACCTACAGACTCTGATATGATCTGAGAAAAAGCGAAGTCATTATACAACAACTTAAAGCAAAGGGAAGGTGTAGGATCTAAAGCTGAAGAATTTAATGCAAGCAAAGGATGGTTTGATAATTTTAGAAAGAAGTGTGGCTTAAAAAATGACAAGATAATAGGAAAAGCACCTTCTGCTCAACAAGAAGCTGGAATCATGTTCCCAGATGCCATTAAGAAAATCACTGAGGGGGGTGCCTGGGTGGCTCAGTCATTAAGCGTCTGCCTTCGGCTCAGGTCGTGATCCCAGGGTCCTGGGATTGAGCCCCACATCGGGCTCCCTGCTTGGTGGGGGGCCTGCTTCTCCCTCTCCCACTCCTCCTGCTTGTGTTCCCTCTCTTGCTGTGTCTCTCTCTGTCAAATAAATTTTAAAAATCTTAAAAAAAAAAGAAAAAGAAAATCACTGAGGAGGGGTGTCTGGGTGGCTCAGTCATTAAATGTCTGCCTTTGGCTCAAGTCATGATCCCAGGGTCCTGGTATTGAGCCCCACATCGGGCTCCCTGCTGAACAGGAAGCCTGCTTCTCCCTCTCCCACTCCTCCTGCTTGTGTTCCCTCTCTCACTGTCTCTCTGTCAAATAAATAAACAAAATCTTCACACAAAAAAAGAAAAAGAAAGAAATTAACGGAGGAAAAAGCATATCTACCTGAACAGGTTTTTAATACAGATTAAAATGCCATATTCTGGGGGGGTGGGGAAATGTCACAAAGGACATTTATTAGTAAGGCAAAGAAGCAAGCCTGTGGATTTAAAGCAGAAGATAGGCTAACTCTGTTTTGTCCAAATGCAGCTGGGTTCATGATCAGGACTGCCTATATCTATAAAGCTGCGAACCTTCCATCTTTGAAGGGAAAATATGAATACCATCTGCCAGTCTTTTGGTTGTACAAGAAGGCCTGGACAATGAGAACCCTTTTCCTAGACTGTTTCCATCAGTGCTTTTCTTACTTTAGGGAAAGTAAGAAAGTAATATGCCTGTAAGGGACTGCCTTTTGAAGTTCTTTTTCTATTGGACAATACACCTGGCCATCCAGAACCCCATGAGTTCAACACCAAAGATGTCAAAGTATTCTACTTGCCCCCAAACACAACATCTCTAATTCAGCCTCTAGATCAGGGGATCATAAGGACTTGTAAGGCTCATTACACATTGTCTCTATGGAAAGGATTGTCCAGGCTACAGGACAGAACCCTGATAGAACATCATAAAAGTCTGGAAAGCTCACACTAGGATGCCATTGTCATAAAAAAGGCTGTGAAAGCCATCGAGCCCGAAACAAAAAAATTCCTGCTAGAAAAAACTGTGTCCAGATGCCATCCATGCATGACTTTACAGAATTTACAACACAGCCAGTCAAGAAAATCATGAAAGAGATTGCAGATATGGCAAAAAGACGGAGGGTGAAAGGTTTCATGATATGGACCTATCAAGAAATTCAAGCGCTAACAGACACCACATGAGAAGATTAACAGAAGATGACTTGATAGAGGTTGAGTGCTTCCAACCAGTGCCAGA